TATATATATATATATATATATATATCACATTTCCCCTATCATAAGAAACAAAACATGGTCCCTGGGATAATTGGTTAAAGTAGGTGGAGATAATCCCACCAACACCACCATCATCAGCATTCATGGAAGATGTTTAAGTAAAGGTTTGTAATGGCCGCGGCCAAATTCTTTCACAAAAGATAGATCTATGCAACTTGAATAGAGACACTGCACGAACCCCTTTCTGTCAGAGACTCATTCAAAATGTATTTTTGTTTGTTTTCTAGGAGTGATCAGCATGTACTCCCAGTTTTTTGGGTGGAGAACGGGGGGGGGGGACATTCCAGCGAATTTCAGACGAACTCCATCACCTGTCGAAACTCACCTTTTCAGAAATGGATTGGCCAAATCTCATATGGATACCGATGTTTGAAAGCTACATTGCCACCGAAAGTACCCGTTAAAAAAACACATCACAGAATATCTTCATGCTGTGGCGGAGTGGATATTCCAATCAATAACCAACTAAGTTTGACTTGTATTTACAGCTTTTTTGTAAAGAACAAGCTCTGTTGTCGTTTTTGCGAAGATCAGACCTATAAGTAAAAGTCAGTGTGCTCTTTTGAGTTCGTGAAACAGCTTCGTAATGAATGACTCGAAGTAACATCAGCAATAATCTGTCTGCTGAAAACACACCTCACCAACTGTAAAGTGGCCTCAATAGCTGTACTGATGAAATGAAAAGTACAATGCACATACGATACGCCAAAAACATGCAGCACCTCTCATTGCTAAACAATCGTGATCTTCACTCTCGTTTCCGTTCGGTCCCGCAAGCAACACGTCCTATTTTGAAACATCTCTAGGGTCCCTCATAGTTTCTCCAAATCTCTAGTGCAATGTTAAATCTGCCAGTAGTTGTGTTCAGTTGTACAGTTATGCGTTCAGCAATAAACGCAAGCAACATCTGAAAGGGGTATTCAACCCTCCAATACTTAAAGAAAACAAATGTCTGGAGATGTTATCAGTTCGTTTGATCTCCTAAACAGCTAGCGGAAAACAAACAGGTGCATGAGGGGCAGCGTAGGTTGATTGGTTCCGGTGAACAAACGTGCAGAAGCTATTTCTCCAGGAGAGAAACATTTTTAATTAAAAAAAATATGATGCAATATGTGGGCAGAGTTGATATCGGTCATCAATTTCGCGTGCTCTCAAGCAGCTGTCTATGCACATTAAATAGGCAGGAATTTTATAAGAAGAATAACATATATGGACATTTACATAATAACATGGGTTTAGGTGGAAAGAACTGGGTTGTTGCGTCATTACCGAAGTCTTTTGGAGATCAGTAAACGAGAAGGAGGGGGTATTGATTATACTCGTTCAGAAAAAAGGAGATTACGGCACAGAAGCAGTTGCGTAGTGTAAAACGAATAACCGTGGAGGAAAGGGAGTTGGAAAGGGTTACTTAATACGAAATATATACAACTCTAACTCATCTCTGGTTGTATTCATCATACACTCATTCATCATCATACCAGTTTCTATGGTGATATTACCTTTTACTGAACCTTAAAATCATTATCCTCTCCTTCTCGTTCACTCATTACCAAATGACTTTGGCAATGAGACTACAACCCAGTTCTTTCCGGCTGAACCCATGTTCTTGTCTAGGTGCCCATACACGGTAGTCTTCCTATGACAATCTACCAATTCAATGTACGTAGCGGCTGATTGAGAGCACACAAAATTTGATGGCCAAAATCAATTCTGCCCACATATTGCGTTAATTATTTTACTCAAATGGATTGAAGGAAAAGGATGCTTCCGATAAATACTGTTTCCCAAAATACACAAAAAAAAGAAATGAGCCCCCCGAGGAGGACATTGCTTGACATTCTTTTCCTAGAAAGTCCTGATGTTCATTCGGTTGACTCCGGTGAATTCTAAGGGAAACCTGTCGGGGCAGTCAGCTTACATGCTAACTGGTGGATGATACATGCCTCTGTAAGTTGGCTGGATAA